GGATACGGAAGCGTTAATAATTAATTCTCAAAAATGATATGTCGTAATGTAACTTTATTACACACGTTAAATTCGTAAAAAAATAATTTTTAATTTGATAAAAAAAATTTGAGTATTAAGAAAATTATGGATGGTGGAGATATTTTGTAAAACAAAAAAATAAACATATTTTCTTTTTTTTTATAACTTTAAAGTACATTTGAAACCGTATAACTTTTATTTAAAAATTTTTTTCTGTCTGTTATACTTTCGACAATATTCACATTGAAAGAAAAATACTGTTTTTTTTTTCAGAGGAGTGTTTAACCCTTTAATCCTATGACAGGCACATTTTTATTCTAAACAAATTATTGAAATCATAAGTCATCTATAAGTTTTCGGGGTCGCTGATTACGATTCTGATGTCAGAATTATAAAATTCAAAATGGCGGATCCAATATGACGATTATTTTAGGCTAAACTCACAGTTTTTTGTTCAATTTGCACGGAACTGGATGTACGAGAATTTTTCGTTGCTACAATAAATACAAAAAACATTTCAAAAAAATAAAAAACAAAAAAAAATTCCTTACGTTTACGTTAGTTCTGGGTCACGTCGAGGAGTAGAGAGAGAATACGCATATATTCTCTAAATCATAATTTATGCGATTCCAAAAAAGATTTGTATATTTATTTTTATGCAATTTGAATAAAAAACTTCTAAACCAAAATAGTCGCCATATTGGATCCTCCATTTTGGATTTTGTAATTCTGACGGAATCGTAATCAGTAATCCCATAAACCCTCGATACAGTTTTGTGCAAATTGAATAAAAAACCGTAAATTTAGTCTAAAATAGTCATCATATTGGATCTACCATTTTGAATTTTGTAATTCTGACGTCGTAATCAGCGACCCCAAAAACCTCCATATATCCAGTTTCGTGTAAATTAAACAAAAAAATGTGAATTTAGTCTAAAGTAATCGCCATATTAGATTCGCCATTTTGAATTTTTTAATTCTGACGTCAGAATCGTAATCAGCGATTCCCAAAACTTTTGTATATCCAGTTTCGTGCAAATTGAACATAAAACCGTAAATTTAGCCTAAAATAGTCACCATATTGGATCCGCCATTTTAAATTTTGTAATTCTGACGTCAGAATCGTAATCAGCGACCCCGATAATCCATAGTTGATCTATAATTTCAGTAATTTGTTTAGAAAAAAAATTTGTTCTTCAAAGAGATAAAAGATCAATTTTCCAAAATTGCAAAAATTTTTTTCGGAAAAATTAGCGTGCAGAAAATTCTAAAAAAAATATATATTATAGTTTCAGATATGGAGTACACGCATAAAAATTTTCGGAGCTCTAGCACTTTACGTTTAAGAATAGCCGAATTTATTCTGAAAAAAAAAACAAGTTTTTTTTTACATTAATTGTTTATAATAAAATTTATTTATTGCAAATAAATAAATTAACGTAATTTTTCGCTCGTTAATGAAAGTTGCATAACTTAGATCTCTAAGAGTCTAAAAAGTATTCATATGCGCATACAAACTGTAAAATAGATCAAAAATACGAAAAAAATTAAGAATAAATAAGTGGGACGTATACGTTCCACTGCCCCTTAAAGGGTTAAACATGAATTAGGGCATGTATAAAAAAATACTCTTAGATTTTTATATGTAACAATATATTTCATGGAGAATCAAATCGATTTCTAACAATTGTGAAACTTCCCTTGTTAGTTTGTTTACATGCAGTACATAACAAGAAAATACTATAAACAATAGTGTTACTTCCAGTGGATTCCAAAATTTTCTCGTTTCGCGAACATTCGGCAAGGTAAACGTTAGGACAAAGCGCGGACAAAAAACGCGAGCGTTAACCGATCGGCGAGCGTAACAATATTTAAGAAACGTGTCGTCGAAAACCTTCCCAAAGATTTTGGAAAGATAAGTAAAAACATTAGATACCCAGAATTACCTGATTCACGGCAATAAATTTATGTCAAAAATTACGAATCATATACAGAAAATCTTTTCTGAACACGTTCAATTTCAGTAAATACAAAATCTAAACGCGGATCAAGAATCCTAAGTAGATAAAAACTCACATTTCCAAACCCGTAAAAACAAGTTGAAAGGCATTTTCTCGATAACAAGAAATGATAAAATAAAAGCAGAATGATAAGAGAAGTTTTTAATTTTTTGTTGATCATAAAATTTAGAAAATATAATACTATCTACAACAAGAAAACACACGTTTAAGTACTTAATAAAAGAGAAAGAGGTTGAAAAAAAGGAAAATATGAAAATTCGAATAAATCATAAGTCGAATAAATCAAGTTCGGAAAAAACAATGAGTGAAATCTCCTCTCTCTTCGAAACAAAACTTAAATTAGACTTGCCAATGAATGACTGTAGATCTGAAACCCTTAGAGAAGGTGATGACGTATCACCAAAGTTTTCAAGAGATTGAAACTTGTAGTGCGAGCGGAACAATTTTGGAAGTGGTTCGATTCAATAATAATACGAGAAACAAATTTCCTATCAAAAGCGGAAAAATCCCGTCGACCCGAATCCTCGATTTTCCAATTTAATACATGTCATCAAAGAATCACCTTCCAAAACTCTTGTATATAAACCATGACCATTTGACCCTCTGGAACCCATTCAGTCATCACGATGCCGTTGATGTCGAAAAAAACGATTAGCATGGCTTTAAATTTTGATTTCGACATCCTTGCTTTTTTCATTCTTGGCGATGCAGGAGTTTTCCAGTGCATGGATTGCCGCTTAGTTTCAACATCGTATTGGAATATCCAGATTTCATCGCAAGTGATGATGTTTTCCATCAATTCAGGCTCTTCATCTAACCTCTCAAGAAAATCTGAGCAGATCTGTTGACGGACGAGCTTTTGGTCAGGGGTCAAATTTTTTGGGACCAACTTCGCACAGACTTTCTTCATGTTTAATTCGTCATGTAAAATTTTTCTGACAGTTTCTTTATCGGCGTTTACAGTCTCAGCAATCATCCGAATGCTCATACGACGATCTCCGCGCACAATTTCATTGATTTTGGTCACTGTTTGCGGAGTTGAAACAGAGACAGGTCGACCTGGACGTTGGTCATCTTCGGTGCTCTCTCGGCCTTCAGAAAACCGTTTATACCATTCGAAAACACGCGCACGAGATAGAGAATTCTCACCATAGGCCTCTTTCAACAACTTATAGCACTCAGTCGGAGTTTTTTTTAATTTAACGAGAAATTTCACATTGATCCGTTGCTCGTGTTTTTCGTCACACATTGTTATCGGCACGAGAAAAAAACAAGTTCGTTTCTAACCTCTATAGAAAAAATACTACTACTGCAAAAACGTGTTTTTGTACTGGAATAGTAGTAGTAGACACTTCCAGCTATCCAACGCTGCTTCGTTTCCCACCCTACCCCTCTAGGACGCCTTCTGCGCGCACAGTCTCGTTATTTAAGCCAGACCTCGTATTTCAAAAGTTTTTTATTCCTTTTTGGACACGCTCATTTGAATTTTTTACACATAATTTTTGGTGAGTTTTTATTATATTTTTTTATTATTTTTTATTAGATTTCCGGTATGTTAATTTATTTACGCGTAGATCTTTTTGTGGTACGTTTTTTAAATTTATCTTTTTATCAACTAGAGCTTTTTTTTATCAAATAATGTTGAACTCGACATCAAGACTCACCCGAACTGTGAATGTTCTGAATATGCGATCATTTGCGATAATTGATTTTATTCTGCGATTTTTTCGTTATGTTAATGTTTGAAGAGGGCTCAATCTGGTAGCCGAAATTTGTAACTTGTAATTATTTTCTTAATTTTGATTCTAATTTTTGCGTTATGTAATTTTACCTCTGTTAATTGTAATATATTCTTTTGTTAATTTCAAAGAAATGTGTTGACTCTTACTTTGTCCGTTACTTATTATTATTTGTTTTGTACAGAAAGAATCCTTTGATTTGTTATTTATCTTTCTCTTTCTTTTTTATATCTATTTTAAAAAACCTAAGACCTCGTAGTCGTTAGCCTTGCCTTTTCAAAGATCGCATGTGGTCCAGTCCCGAGTTAAAAGAATTAGATTCCTTGATTCGAAATGTTAAGAATTGGAATGGAGTGGTTGGTGATCGCGATCCTATTTTCGATCGGCATGCGATGCACGCCGGTCTCAACACTCTTAATGCAATCGAAAATAATCTTATGTTTATCGTTTAGTGGAAGAGCGAAATTCTCACCTAGTTGTAGGAAACACTGTATGTCTATTGGAATGGACACAGAGGATAGGTTGAGGAACCACCCGTTTCGGACAGTGGTCAGGGACGAAGATCTGTGTGAGGTGAAGGAACTGGGATGTATAGATATCAAGTTACTAGGAGATAACGTAAGCGAAGGCTTGTTGACATTCAATGTGTCCTTGTGCACGGATGTGTTAGGCCAGCACCATCATAGTTATCATTCTCGAAAGATAAGTTGAGCCATGAAAATAATCATTTAATAAGATTACATATAATTAAAAACATAAAAAGATTATGTGTATATTAATCAAATTTTTATTTTTATCTTACGTATAATAATAATTTGTAATACTCTCTCTAAGAGTGGTAATCTCTATCTTTATGCTACCTTATGCAAACATAGATGTATCTATAAATAATATAAATATAAATATATTTTAGTTATTTAGATATTTTTATTTGCCCAACTTGCCCTTATGCGCAACTATAGCCCCGCTCTATCTATTCCATCCCTACCGCGCAAATAACTGTTACAAAAAAAACCATTAAAAAACTAATGAAACCTAATTTTTAATTTTAATTTTAATTTTCTTCACTAGTCAACCAAAATTAAAACCGTTACACTTACTCGATGTTTTATTAAACCATAATCAAACATGAACTGAAAATACCTTTCGCTCCGGATCTCTGATTCAAAGCCGGTTTAGTAAATTTTTTTTTAATCAGTTTATTCTTAAATATGTAGAGTACTGAAATTGGAAGCGCCGTTTACGAGATGGACTGGCCGATGCTTCCTGTTGATTTAATGAAAACCTTTTTGGTAATAATTACACGATCTATGAGACCAATCAAGATAACTAGCGGATATGTACTCACTTTGTCTAACGAATCATTTATGAAGGTGAACGAGATGAGATATGGCGATATTAAAAAATATCACTGCACGAATACCCAGGTAGTATCCATTATGACGTGATGATCATGTCTAATTTTACATCATTTATTCTCAAAATTAACGTAAAAATGATATGTTTTTGACGGTCCTAAATCACAGACTAAAAGCGCCATTAGTAATGTCAAACAGATGTTATTTTAACTTACAAAATGATGTGAATTAAATAGCTTAATGACGTTTTCATCACTTTTCTAAATTGAAATTATATAATTTCTAACATACGTGTTATCTGACATCTTGTAAGCAATTAAATTCAAAGCATAAGGCTTTCTACAATAAGTTATTACCTAAGTTTAAGTCTTAAGCCATAGAAATTGACCAATCATAGTCAATTATTTTTCTCATATTCAACTGTAATTGATCGATTTCTTATGGCTTAAGACTTAAAGTTTAAACAATAACTTAGGGTGCGATTACATGTAGCACGGTACGCGGTATAGAAACTAACTAGTAACTATAGGAACCGCGCAAACCGTGCCGCTTGCTTTTTTTCTTCTCTATTACATGTAGCGCGGTAAGCGACACGGGCTAGTTACAAATATACTTTAATATGAATAGTTAATTTCTTATTAGAAAGCCTATAAAGCGGGGAGCACAGATTGTTACATAACGCATAACATATAGTGTATAAGTGAATCTACCAATTAGAATCTTCCTTTTCCTCCCATTTCATAGAAAAAAATTTTGATTGATTAATTCTCTTATGCACTATGCATTAGGCATTTTGCATGAATCTGTGCTGCGGCTATTAGAGTGTGCGTTACGAGTTATAATATATCCACAAAACTTGTATAGCCTCATAACTAGCCCTAATTTTTATTGCAGATTCGGATTCTACGTCAATTTTGATTAAACCTTTCGATTCCTGATAGATGGCGAAAATTCGTTAATTTTCATCTTCTTCAAGAGAAATTTCCATATTTTATTGCACAATGATGCTACGTTGAAGAAAGCAACTTTTATCTGAAACATGTTTTTCGAATTATCGTAGATGTCTACGATAATTTTTTATCCGTTCTTAGCTTTACTCAAGATTAACGATGTGGACGTGACGGAAATTATAATCCTTTCGGAGTGCATATTTATTGCATTTATCAGAAATTGAAAAAAAAGGTTTAAACAAAATTGACGTGTTTTTGGATGTAGAATCCGAATCTGCAATAAAAAGTAGGAATTTCTTTTTAAGATTTAAAAGTTACCCCCAGCCTCACCCTTAAGGGAGAGTGGGAGGCGGCTAAGTTTTGCGAGATAGAATTGCTCTCTCAAAAATATTGAATGATTATTTGGAACATTTTTTCGTACAATGTTTATTTTTCCAGATATTTGGCAGTCTCTGGTTAAAAAACTTACCCAGTATATATAAGTAATAATAAATTCTTTAATTATAGTTATTACATATGTATAAATATACATATACATATGTATTTACATATGTATACATATATGATACATTTACGTCTACATCACGTTATTATTGCAAAGACTTATTAACGTGTTAAAATTAACGTCGAATACACGTTACTTAATTGACGTATAATGTCAGTGACCAATTGTGACCAAATATTGACGTCATAACGACAGACTGCTACCTGGGTACTGTCGAATTAAAATACAAAAGTATTTTTAATAAATTTAACATGATTATACCTTAATTTGTACACGTCATTTTATTCATATTTGTTCATTCTTTCAGATTATCAAAATATCTTACTCGGCATACAACGTCCTGCAGGGATCTTAATACAAGTGAAAATGTCATCTTCGATCACGTATCTTAAAGAAACCTGTAGCCAACTAATTTTCTTGCAAATAATAGTAATAGTACTGCTTAAAAGTCTAAATCAGGAGACATGGTAGTGTCATTAGTTTATGCCAATAATTTATGGCGCCAATAGTTCACGCAACAAATCCGAACACTTGAGATTATCGGATTTCAATAACAGCTAAATCGATCATTTTGAGTGGGTTTAATTAGTAATTTGGGTTTTAATTATATAATAAAAGTGTTTCTATTTTTTTTATATGTTATACAAGCAGAAATATTGCGACACAAAATTCAAATCAGAAAATATTACATTTAAGGAACGTCGTATCTTGTACAGTTATTTCTGATGTAAGAATACACTATCATTCAAATTTGCAACACGTATCGAGAGAATGAGCAAGTAAGATCCAATTTTTCATTATTATGGGAGTCAATCATGTAATTTCACATGGAACTTTTCACGCATAATAATTATGTATGTAGCTTGTATATGCGCTGGCTTTGGACAAGTTTTTGTAGTCCGTTTTTATTTCAACATAGTCTATCTCTCAAAATAATAATCTATCTACAAATAATATGACTAAACTATACTTTTTTTAAATTTGAAAGTATATTTATTAATTCTCTAGCTTCCGTCATCACGGTTCATGGCGAAAAAATTTACGTGAACAATTTCACGTTTTCACAATCAGAAAAGTTATACGCTTCCACAAAATCGCAGATAATCGTAGAGTTCAAAACTTTTTTTTATATTTTATTGAGAATACAGGTATTTGAGTTCAGCGCGTTTCTGTACTCGAGTGTACAGACCAATACTTTTATGCGTGACTGTACTGTACTCGACTCAAGCGTGGCTCGGAAAACTTCGACGCTCATCGTAATTAACCGATATCCGTTTAAGTGATCTCTCTCACAGTCTCAGCTTGAATTCCGAAATGAGAGGACAGCACGCTCGCGGATTATAAAATTTACTTTTCAATAAATTACGTTCAATTATAAGTTTCAACTTAATTACTGGCTCAATCCACCCAACCACGCTCTGCTAACAAGAAGCTTTATCATTTTACATATGGTTATGTATAGACTATTCAAATTTGTCTGGATAGGTTAGATCAGGTTAAGTTTTCGTGATAAAATTGGGTAATACAAATTCTTTTATATTCTTTCAGAAAACGATAAAAATGGTTAGAAAATATAAAAAAAGATCGTCTAAGGGTACATATGAGGAAACCGATATAAAGAAAGCAATTGATTTGGTTGCTAAAGGAGGTAGCATTAGAAAAGTAGCTGATCGATGCGGTGTTAAAAGAGACGCAAGATTAAAATTATAAAGTCACTTGGTGTGGAATTCAAACTTACATCAAACTGCAGCAACATCAAAAAGTTTTTACTGATGTTCAAGAAAATTTAATTGCTGATTATTTAAAAATGTGCTGCAAAATATTCTATGAGTTGAAAAGAAAAGGAAGCCGTAAATTAGCATACGAAACTGCTGTTGCTAATGAAATTAAGTGTCCTGCGTCGTGGGTTGAGAAAAAAATAGCAGGTGAAGACTGGTTGTTAGGATTTTTTAAAAGACACCCAAATTTGTCACTTCAATCTCCAGAAGGATGTAGTTTGGCTCGAGCTACAGCATTTAATCGTCATAATGTAGAAGCCTTTTTCGATAACTATCAAACATTATTAAAAAAAGAGTCGCGACTTGGATATTTGTCAAGAATTTATAATTATTTAGATAAAACTAAAACTACAATAGTTCAAAATAGTGGAAAAATAATAGCTGAGAAAGGTTCCAAAGCTGTATGTAAAGTAACAAGTACGGAAAAAGAAATTCTCATTACAACATATTGTATTACCCGTGCTGATGAAAATTATTGACCACCTGTTCTGATATTTCTTTTGATCAATTTCCGCGATCACATGATGATTGGCGCTCCGTATAACTCTTTGGGTTGTTTGACAACTCCATTAGGCTGGATGAATACTCAATTTTTTGTTCAAACAATGCAACATTTTATAAAATTTTCATACAATACAAAGGATAACCCATCACTTTGATAACCATGAGAGTCACATAAGTTTAGACGTCTTCGAGTTAGCAAAAGCAAATGGTATTTACATTTTGATACTACCTCTGCATTCAACACATCGACTGCAGCCCCTTGATGTTGGCCTATACAGTCCATTCCAAAAGCTTTACAACTGCTATCGATGAGTCATCTAGGGAAAATTGTATCAATTTATGAAATAGCTGGATTTGTCGACACAGCCCTGCCATCTGCTATGATACCAAATAATATCATTAATGCTTTTAAAAAAACTGGCATTTTTCCTTATAACTTATATGCATTCAGAGATAATGATTTTCTCCCGAGTTTAGTTTCAGAACGGCCCGATGCAATAGATGTGTCTACAGAGGAAACAAACAATGTAACAGGTTTATTATCTTCTCCATGTAACGAATGTTGTAGTATTATACGAGTATATCATGACTAATCATGTGTTATTAAAATATCTTTACCTATGTATTATTTCTTAAATATCTTAAATCATTTATCAATATCTTATAAAATATCTTTTTAAATAATAAAGACAGTTCCAGAATTACTAGTGAATGAGAAAGAAGTAGCAGATCAATTTAGTCTCGAAGCAATTTAGAAGTCCTGCAGATATCAAAGGTTATCCTAAAACAGAACATCGCTCAAGCACTAGAAAATGTAGACAGCAGGGTAGCAGCAAAATTTTAACTGCTTTTTCAGAAAAAAAAATCTTATAGAAAAGAAGGAAGGACAAAAAAAAGATAAGAAGATTTCTAAGAGAAGATAAAAAAGATTAAGATTTTACAAAAAGATATTAAGATTATTTGTTCAAGAGATATTATTTGTTTGAGATATTATTTAGTTAAGAAATATTACTTGTTTAAGAGATATTATTTCTTTAAGATTTGTTTGAGATTTGCTAACTTTAATGATTAAATAAATCGTTTTTGGACTTTATTTATGAAATATAAATCACTTCTTTGAATTTCATTTATTAAATAAAGCTATTTCTTCTATGTGCCCCAGTGTCTGACTCATGGTACCCCAGGCATGGGGGTACCATGGGTCATTTCTAAAAATTTCTTTTTTGATTTTTATTTAAAAAACAAGTATTAATCAATATTTATGAAAAATGCTCAATAAATCTTAAAATATATATTATCCCTTAATTATATAAAAAAGTTGAAACCAAAAATCTTACATTTTAATGTATCTTTACTGTTCGAATTTTTGTGACTCATGGTGTCTCGGTTTCCCCTACTTATAAAATACAAATAATAACATAAATTCACGTATGATTCAAGAAAATCTGAATTCTGGCTCTGCAATAAGAATCATTACATTTTCATTTAGTAAATGTTTTAATAATACAATGTTTATTATTAAACAAAAGCTTTAATTTCATATCTTCTAATACAGAAATAAAAGTTGCTAAATTTAAGACATTTGAAACCAAATATTTAAATAAGTTCATTTAATGAAATTTGTCTTAAAATACGCGTCTGCAAAAATGGAATTACAAAGTAATGTCTTTTTTATTGACATAACTGTTTGGTAAAAACGGGCAGACTATTAATATTGTAACACGTTTTTGGTGCAGAAAATTTTACACAATTTAATCAGCAATCTACAGTAAAAAGAGAATTCTTGGTTGAGTTATTAGCTTGTTGAGAGTCAATCCCGTGACAATCTGTTCCAAAACCATGGTTCCTCTAATACAAGTACAGATAATTTCTGTAAAAGAAAAAAAAAAGGAATATGTGGCATATATTATATTACTACCTACTGTGACAACTACTGTGTTTTGGATTTTATTTTATCGAATGCTTATTTTGGCTTATCTTACAAAAAAATTAATTATTGCAAAGTTACAACCAATATTATAAAAACTGCTATATTATCTGATAGAAGACATTTTTTAATTTGTATTTATGTATTTAAAGTTTATTTTTATTTTTTGTTTAAGTAAGAAATATTGTCTAAAAACAAAATAGCGATATCGGCGACCTTTCCCTAAATGTATAAAATAATATTACTATTATACTCATAGTGACTATATTATTAATAATATTACATTATTTTAAATATTTGTAATTTCTTAAATCAGTTTTATTTATATTATTTTTTCTCGCTTAGTTTTTTCATAATACAATTTATTAGGTACTAAACTTATTTTTGACGGCTCATATTTAAATGACACTAGTTGTAGGTGTAATTTACTTTGACATTTGAAGCTGGCTGCATTTTAGAGGTTAGACATTTATCAATAAAATTTAGTGCGAAAAGATTTATTTAAGCAAACAGTGCCATTTTTTTGTTATTAAACATGGAATGTAATAAGTTGCTTTTTCGACATATGCTGCTTCATTACTTTGATTTGAAAAAAACTGGAGCTGCAGCTTATAAATTGCTTGTCGAAACTTATGGCAATTGTGTTCCATCAGAAAGAATATGCCAAAAATGATTTCAACGATTTAAGAATGATTATGATGTGAATGATAAACAACGCTCAGATCAACCGAAAAAGTTTGAAGGCACCGAATTGCAGGCATTATTGGATGAAAACTCAGCTCAAACGCTCCAAGAATTGTCTTGCAACATTAAATGTTACTCCGATGACTATTTTCAAACGTCTACATGCAATAGCAACGATTCAAAAGGAAGGAAAATGGATATCACACAAATTAACGGAAAATACCATTGCGAATCACTTAAACATCTCTATCTCTTTTGTTAAGTTTTGTTTCTTCAAAGGTGATTTATTATTTATAGAGATTACAGAAATATTTGCTTATACATTTATCTTACTTGTAACGCTATATATCTCTATATCGCCTCTTCTGCCGAACGCTCTCACATGATGAAGTCTATACGCTATGAGCGCCCCTATAGATATTCACTTATAGCTATACTAACATGGAGACATCCGTAATGTAA